GTTCCTGAGAAGCAGCGCGACCCTTCCCAGACTAAGGCTGTCAACAAGTATCGAGCCTATCTGGTCTGGCATGAGTCCCTTGTCGCGGCAATTATCAGCATGCGACAGGCTCAGGAGAGCATCCCACGTCCTGCTGTAACTCCGTCGTCGTCTGGGAAGGCCAAGGTATGATTCCTGGTCTTTGTCCAGATTTTCTTACGGATACCGTTGCACAGGCCAAAGACCCAGTTCCTGAGGCTTCAGGCTCAACTCCTGCCATCGACATTGATTCAGACGTCGAGATGGAGGCCCCCACTCCTGTTCAAGAGAAGGTGCGTCCGTCTTGAGTCTTTGCCGGGCACAGGTTGATTTTTCTCAGACCCCGCGACCATCTACTCGCAAGACCGTCGCAGGACGGTCTGGTTCTCGATCGGTCGACAGATCTGGTCATGACGACTCCGTAGGGCTCGCGGACGTCTATGGGACTATCATTCGACTCATAGACGAGCACGATAGGTCGATGCGTCTTCTCAGCGCCAAAATGTCGAAGCTTCACGCGGAGCAGATGGAGGCTCTCGGGAGCTGTCTCCAGAGTTTCCAGACGTGAGTTCTCACTCAGTCGCGGCGACTACATTTCTGACCAATTACCCAGCCATCGTTTGTTGTCACCGGCTCGAAGAGGCAGCGACTCAGCAACAGTACCACTGATGCGGCCCCGGGTGAGTCTCGCAGTTATATTCTCCTGTCGCGACACTTTGCTAACCGATTGACAGCGTCCGCGTCCGACCGAAGGTTTATTGCGGACCGAGTGCATCGACATCAATTGTACCGGTTGCGGCGGTCCATTCCACTCGAGCTCCTCATTGAGGAACGCGACTATGTCACGTCGCGGCTAGAGGAATGGAAGACCGCGCTCAAGGACGTCAAGGAAGCCATTGACCTCTCGATGTCGAAGAATGCGGCCTAATTTTTCATAATATGCACTCTCCTTCCATATGTCTCTTTCTCTCTTGTCATTTATTTATGAAGTCGTGTCTCTTCTTCTCGCGCACCTCCTTTATGACCTTTTTCTTTTAGATACAACCCAGTATAGTCCTTAGGTACCAGCTAGCACCCAAGCAATATACTGAATTCTGTCTAAAACTGAGATAAGCGACGTCTTGTCGTGTGAGAGCCTGCCGCGACAATTGCTTGTTTGCCAGACTTTCACTCGACAGAAGCTGGATCCTCTACAGGGTCGTCGTCGTCGTCGCTATCCGAGTTCTTGAGTTTCACACCCTCAAACTGGTAGTCGCGGACGTCAGATATTTCCTCTACCAACTCATCGAGTTTAGCAGGCAAAATATCTATCAGCTTCTTTATATCTTCAGAGAGTGTCAACTTCTGTCTTGCCAAATAAGGTATTACTCGGAACGCCACGACTTTCGCATGGAACATTGCACCGTTCATTTCACAGACTAAGTAAGAACCCCCTTTGGTCTTTCGAACTACAATCATGGGCCCAAGATATCTAGCTTTCATCTTGTTGTCCAATGATTTTTCAATAGCTGTGTTCCTGACCAACACTAAGTCCCCTGGTACAAACTTGTAATCTTTGATCACATGCTTGTACTCGAGTTCGTAGCGTTGAACCATCTTTAGTTTGGCGTCGCTGACGCGGCTGCGCATATCTTCAATGTGGTCGGCGTGTTTCGCTAGAGCGCGTGCCCTGAGACCAATGAGATCCGCAGAGTCGACGACCCGGTCAGGATATTCGACTAGCCACGTAGCTTCGACTATATCCAGAGGGATGGTAGGGTGGGCCCCACATACTGCGAAGTATGGTGAACAACCCAACCCACGACGCACTGTAATTCTATCTGCCCACAAGACTTGTGGGAAGAACCAAAACCATTTGGAGGCGTTTCCCCCAGTAGCTTTGTACAGTGACTGCCGAATGTCCCAGTGACCTCTTTCAACAGTGCCATTCGCTTGGGAATTGTAAGGAGATATCCTTATTCCTTTGATACCATATTTCTTCTGTAACCAGTTCAACGCCGCGACAAATTGTCCTGCGTTGTCGGTTACGATCCACTTAGGACACCCCCAGCGACACACTATGTCTTCGAGTAAGAAACGCGCTATTGCCTTGGCGTTGTCAGCCTGTAGCGGTCGCGCTTCCACGTAGCGGGTCAAGGAATCCCTTGCCGCGACAACATATCTGTATCCGTTGGAAGGCGTTCCCATAATCATGACGTCCGTATGTATCTTCTGAAATACACTTGGAGTCATTGTCGGCGTCGGTGGAGTGCGGAGGAGAGTTTTCTGGCGGACTTGGCAGCTATGACAAGTCTTTATCCACCAGTCGACGTCTCTTTCCATCTCAGGCCACCAAAACCGAGTTTTCAACAGGCTCTTAGTGCTGAAAAGACCCTTATGACCCAGCGCGTCGTGACACGCCTTCATCATATAAGTCCTGTGGTGCTTGTCCACGACCAGTCTATGAATCCCATTGGTTGATCTCTTGTACATTTTTCCATCTTTGAGGAAAAACTGTCGCGAGAATTTGAGAAACGATCTGAACCGTTTATCTGTCATTTCAGGCCTTATAGAAGTGTCTTTCAACCACTTCCTAGCCATTACCAGCTTATTGTCTTGTTCAATCCCTGTGCCCGTCCGGTGATCCTCAATATAGGGATCCTCAGGATTGTCGCGCAGTTCAAGATCAGGCAAAAGCGGTTCTCCGTTCGCCACATTGTTCAACATGAAGACTGGGACAACGAGACCTTGAGCGTCATACGCGTCTTTGACACGCCGATTCTCAGCGCGACGAGAGTCGCAAGCTTCGACTAGCTCTTTGGATATGTCGTCGACCGACTCAGCACACCCGACCATAGAGTTAAGGTAGCCACCTCTGGTGTCAATATCCCTTTTGAACTCTTCAAAGTCTAATGGTTGTTCTGTGTCGTAGTCCCAATTTTCGTTGTTCTCTGGTGGCGGCTCGTCGAAGATTTCCTCTTCGTCATTGGGATACTCTTCATCTCCAGGTGCAGGTCGTCGCCGCGACAAGCCATCTGGTGAGAAGGTGATTCCTCTGACATGTTTCAAGGTAAACTGAAACATGAGGATCTCCTCAGCCCAACGGTTGATATTCGCATTTGGTAGGTTACCAACGTTTCTTAGCATGCCTGCCAAGTACAGCGCGTCGGTCTCGACTACCAATTTCCTACAACCAAGAAGCCAGTGAGCCATGGCTTGAAGCACGCACTTCACACCATAAAGTTCACGTTTCGGTTGAGAAAACCTAGCTTCTCGTTCTGTAAGTGGGATACTCCCAAATTTCGCGTAATAGACTTTCTTTGGGTCATCTGGGTCGCGCTGGTAGATTTCGAAACCCGCGGCCATCCAGGATGTGTCTATGGCGACGACAATCTCAGAGTCCCACTCGTAGTTCAGAGGCTTAAGCGACGGACAGACTTGCATCGCGTCTTTAAGTCTTTGAAATGCAAGTTTCTGTTTGTCACCCCATTCAAAATGCGCGTTCTTGTTCACTAGCCTCTGAATTGGTCGCGCCATTTCAGAAAATCCTCTAATGAACATTCGCATGACCCCAATCGTGCCCATAAATTGTCGAACCTCCGAGACGTCCCTCAAGTCTGGCCAACGCATGATTACACCAACCCTGTCCGCGTCAGGTTTTCTACCTTCAAACGAACAGATATGGCCAACCACAGCGAACTCGTCGGCGCAAACCACCGACTTGGTACCAGACAGGGTCGCGCCACAGTAGCCGATTCTGTGCACGACGCGGTTCACATTCTGAAAGTGTTCCCATACGAAGCGACGGATCCCAGGATTCTCTGGAATCGTTTCACAGGTTCCATCGGGTAACAGATACCTGGTTCCAGGTCCTCGAACGGGTACGTCGTCGATGTATGGAATAGTAACATGAGGGATTTCGTCTTTCAAAATGAAAGTAACGTCCTCATGGAATATGGGTACTGAGTTGGTCCATCCTTGTGGGAGTTTGACCAACCTCAGTGCACCGAACGGTGACTGGAATGTAGTCAAGTCGCGACTAGCTGGATCGATGTCACGCTGGTCGTAGCCTGAGTACAAATCTAGCGCAGCACCACAGGCGCAACCAGCAAAGTGGTTTGCTAACTCCTCCGTCGCGGGCGGCAATCCTGAATGCGCAATATTAATTGCATTGAGTGGCTCTAGCGAGTGCACCAGTCTGATACTCTTCCCATCCTTCTTAAGTACAGCAAAGAACTTGCTTCGATAAGAGGAATTGGAAGGTTCATAGACCTGAGCCGCGATTTTGTCTTTGATGACCTTGCACACTTGGTCGAACATGCCGCGAGGTATAGGAATATTCCCTTCGCGATATGCTGTATGGGGAACTGTCACGATCTTGACAGGAGGAAAAATATCCTGTCTCAATGCGCCACGTTCTTCATCATTGAACGCGAAACTCTGATTGTGAAGCATATAGAAGTGCATGAGCAACTTCCGTTCTTCTGGCAATAAGAAGTCTCCTTTGTGTAACTTGTCCACAATATCCCTGCGTTCCGTCGTGAGTCTACCAGTTGGGGTAAAATCAGGTGGTCGCGGGTTTAGAGTAGGCAGCGTATCCAAAGGATCTCCAATCATTTCTCGAATTATTCGATCGTCCTCAGAACCCATAGTGTACACTGGTCTGACCTTCTGGTCCACAGGTTTGTATTTCTTTCCTGCAAACACAGAGTATTTGTCGCAACTAGAAGAGTCGTCGTCTAGTACACTCCAAGTACCGACAGTCAGTTTTTCTGTTGTCGCGTCTGAGAATCTTTCATTCATATATGAATGAAACAAAGTCGATGCAGCGACGTCTTTCTTCATTTCCTTGTCCTCTTTCGACGACAAGATATATGCTTCTACTAGCTCAGTTTGGGTAAACTGGCCACTAGAACGCGGCTTTCTTAGATCCTCGAACACTACATTCCCATCCTTTCCCAACGACACAGTCACCGCGACCTCTTCTCCTTGACTCAACCTGGTCAATTCCTCGAAGCTCTTTGAAAATCCCGTTCAGGGTTCGGTTCGTCTGGAATGGTCGTTGGTTTCGACGAACTGTAGGGCTCGGTAGATCCGTCGTTGTTTTTGGTGTTACGCGGCAAGTCATCCGCGCAACGCGGCTGCGTAGCCATTGCACAACGTGTCTTTAAATTGGGATCGCGCATGGTGATTATCTGGCTGCCGTCGGCCGCGTTCTTGATGTTGCTTTCAGTCGCGATATCAAACGGTCTGCCGAGCAACACCTTATAAGCTGGACTTTCCAAAATGTGCACCTGCAGGTAGACCAGGATGGTCCCAAACCTGAAGGGTACATTTCTCGCTAATCCCAGTGACTTAGAGATAGATCCATTTGCACTTTCCATATAGATGACGACTTTTGGGTCCCAGCTCAATTGTGCGTCGACGGCTTCTGAGAAAGCCATCGATACAATCTGGGATCCACTGTCCAGGATGCAGTCCGCGTTGAGACACGCGTTAATCCGTCCGTTTATTGTTCTGAGAGCAGCCGACGAATCACCAACATAGACATGTCTTGGGTTCTCATTAGAGGGTATCGACTCCAAGTACATCTCATATGGGTCCGTCGCGACAACTGCGCCAATGGGAATTTCTCCTTCAACTGTGTTATGATAGAACACAGGCTCGGGCAATTCCTTAGCACTGACTAGGTTGTAGCTCAGTTCTCCATCCCAAACGTCTTCAACGACGTGACCAGTTTCTTGAAGCATGGACTTCTGAACCGGTACTTGTTTCTTCGAAGAGTCCTTCAGAATGGAGTCGCGGACAGTCCCCAAAACTGCTAGGAGTTCACCCACAGTGACGTCGACTGACGCGTTTTTCATTTTGTCGTAGACTGCTTCTGCCACAGCCTTCTTTTGAATCGGTGCACGCAACTGGTATTTATCTGGAACGCGCGCTTTTGAAGAATGTACTGGTTCTTGTAGAACGGGCTTGACTTTCTCAAACGGTAGTTCCTTTCTCTTTTCGACGTTGTCGTGCACTGATTCCTCATCATCGTCGCTATCACTAACTTCTTCGATAGTCACAGGTTTTCTCGGTTTCTCTCGTCGCTCAGCTCGTTTATCATGGTCCTCAGAGGGCTTGGCTGAGTTTGTAGGTTTAGCCCCCTTCCTTGAACCATTTAGAAACCCGAGTTGTTATCGTCGCGCTCAGGTTGGCTATTCGCACCACGACGGGTTTGAATGAACTGCTCCTGAGTCTGAGGATAACCACTGTTCATGTTGTAGAAGTAGCCGGCCATGGCGTCGGTCATGGCTTTCTGCATGAACTGGCCCATGGCACTTTCCATTGCATTACTGGTCGAACCAGATGCAGTTCTTTGAGTCTTCGGCTCAGCGCGACTCTCTGGAGTTGGCCGCGACGACTTCCTCTCGTATTGGATGAGTTGACTTCGAAGGGAGCGTATCTCATCTGCCACTTCTTCAGGGTAGTCGGACATATCATCATTGTCGCGGCTATCGAACTGATCCAAGTAGTAGGAGTCTTGGAAGTTGACGGACTTGCCCTTCTTCTTCCAGTAAGCCTCTACTCGTTGTCCCTGAGTCCCTTCTCCATTCGGTAGGAAACTGTCGTCGAAGAGCCTCCACATCCCTTTGGTGTCGACTTTGAGAAGGTTTTTCTCAATGTGAGACCTCTTGAGCGGGCACTCGTTCGACCAGTGACCAGTTTGTCCACAGTAGCGACAGTCGTCGTTCCGTGCGGCAGCTCCTCCTTGTGCGCGACTTTCAAAGTGGGGCACAGAAGAGTTGTTGCCTACTGGCCGCGACCGCTGTATAGGTGCTTTGCAAGCAGTCTGTACAAACGTCTTCAGCGCTTCCTGCAACTAAGTCTGTAGCTCTTTTTGGTGTAGAAGAAATGAGTCCTTCAAGTTGGAAATTGAGTTTTCCAACTCCTCAACCTTAGCATGGTTGGGTGGACTAGTCTCATAGTCGAAACGAACCTTGGGAGGCCGCGCGATTATGGGAATTTCGTCTTCGTTACTCAACGTCGACGCCATTTCTTCCGCCATTGTCATTAATTCTTTCAGCTGGATGGGGTCGTCCTGCCGATTGACTCCAGTCGCGGGGACATTAGCGTTTGCTATCCCGGCGCGAGTTTGATAGCGCTTATTGAATACTTGACTTGTAGCCAAAGCATTTTGCAAGACGGTACTAAATTCGGAGTCCAAAGTACGCATGTAGCGTTTACACGCGACTTTGTTGGTAATAATGGCAGGAGGGACTGACAGTCGCTTGTAGTGACTGTACATTTGAAGGCCGAAACGCTTCAAATCTCCCTCATCCGTAATTTTGATTCCACGGTTCTCGCGACAGAGTCTATCTAGATCTGCCATGGTCCCCGTTTTTTGCTTGGACACCTCAGGGTATCCTTTTAATATTTCGGCCTCGAACTCCGCGACAGTTTTCGTGTCGTCGGAATAGGTATCGAGACCTTCCCATACGTCCATCACTTGCCGCGACGGCAAATAACGAATGTACATGCTTTTTGCTTGTTTGACATCTGTGATGCCACCATCCTCTACGATCTGCGCGCAGTGACGCAAATATGCCTCAATCAACAGGGGATCCTTTTCATCAAGTATAGGTCTACTTGTGTCCCAAGGTTGAGGGATTTTGAACCCAGTCTTTGGAGCCATAGTTGTTGCGACTGAAGTCACAGGGGAAGTAGGGATGTTGTTAGAATTCGTGTTTGTAGCGATGACGCTACTAGACAATTCTGAGAGGGTTTGTGAGCTAGTCTGAGATCGACTGATTGTCGTCGAACTCGAAGTAGCCGCGTCTAAAGCTGGAAGCTTCGACGTCGAATTCACTCTTTGTTTTCCTTTTGCCTTGGAGGGCAAGGGTGGTAGATACAAAGGTGTTTTATGTCTTGCAGACCTTCGTGGTTTTTCGAAAGGTCCTGAAGTTGAAGCGTTTCCTTCAGTCTCAATCTCCGCTTGGTCCTCGAGAGGTCGCGCAGGAGCTTGGGATCGAAATAAAATGCTTTGCGGGATAAACCCTTGGTCTCTATCCAACGTCGCGGTAAAGAATCCGGTTTATTGATTTTTAAAGTTGATGAAACTTTAGAAGCCCCTCGCGGTGGGCTCCAGATGAAATGCTGAGGGCGTGCTCACAAGTGAATCTACTATGAAAGTAAACCCAAATATGAACACGTTCACACTCCTCATAATCAGCTTCTCAGTGTGTGAAAGATGCGAGGGCTTCGGGGTGGACAGAACACCAGTATCACAACTCTCAATAGACGCAGATCCAATAGTCGCGGAGACAAAGTCGACGACAAGAATTTATATATAGCAAACTGTGACAATCAACCCAAAAACAAAGTCGAAAAGAGAAGTGAATTCGAAGACTGGAGAATACAACCAAATAGCTACAGTATTTATACCCAAGTCCAGTCTGAGTCATATCTACAACTAGTGAGTCATAAGGCTATGTACCGCATGGAGCACTGGTCATGGGTTGCAGTAGAACCTTCTGGAGCATGTGTCGCGCAGCCTTGGATCGATGAAGATAATCCCTAGGACCCCTAGCCCGGACCGTCTGATGCCGTGATCCGTGATAAGATAAGTCGTGCCAAGATAAGATAAGATCGTCGATGATAAGATGAAAAAGTGGCCGAACTATGACATTACCCCCTCTCTAGGGTCGATGTCCTCATCGACTAGGCCAATGGGTGTGAAGACGTTGTCGTAAGGGTCGAAGAGTTGTTGTTGCGGGTATGGAAGGCGCTCGTCTCTGGGTTTGTAGCGATGGATGAGATAGTCCCAATGTCCGGCTTCGAGCGTTGGCAGGAGGCGAATGCGTGTGTCTGGGTTTGATTGTTTCCTCTGCCAATCTCTCAGGACCTTCTTCGCGTGGGTAAGGTGACGTGATGGTTCCCAGGTGTTCTCGCTATGCGGCCATCCCTTCCATTTGACCAAGTACTGTTTTCCTCGGCCGACTTTTCGCTCCTTCACGATTTCTTCGACTTCCCACTCTTCTGCTCCTCCGATCATCTTGGCTACAGGCCTCTTCTCTCGGCGATGGGGGGGTGGTTCGTGATAGGGTGTCAACAGTGACTCATTGAACACCGGATGTCTTCGGTCCGTGTCCGGCAAATCCAGCTTCCATGCAGCCGCTCCAACCTTCTCCAGTATCTCGTATGGTCCCAATCTCTTGTCGCTCATCTTCTTTGATGGTCGATCCGTCTCGATATTTTCCCCTTCTATGTACACCTTCATCCCAACCTTCAACTCCGGAACTTCTTTTCTTTGTTTATCGTAGTATTTTTTCATTTTTTCTTTTGCTTTTTCTAGTGCTGCTTTTGCTTCGTCTTGTATTTCTTTGATTCTTTTCACAAATTCCTCCGCCGACTCGTTTCTCGACTCCATCCGTTGCTCCACTCCCTTCCACGGGTGATATCCGTGATTGGCGTAGAATGGCGATACTTTGGTGGACGTGTTCATCTTGTCGTTGTATGCGAACTCCGCCATTCCCAGCCACTCCGACCAGTCCGTCTGATGGTAGTTGACGTAGATGCGGAGATAGTGCTTGATCTCCTGATTCATGCATTCCGTTTGTCCATCTGTGATCGGGTGATATGCGGTCCCCGGATTCATTTCCACGCCCAACATCCGATTTGTCTCCTTCATGAAGCCCTTGATGTAACGCGAATCCCTGTCGGTGATGATCTTGCGAGGGATCCCGTGATAGCGGAAGACTCGGTCTCTGGTTAACCGTGCCACTCCTTCGCTGCTGATGTCAGTACTGATTGGTTCGACATGGATCATTTTGGTGAAGGTGTCACACCACACATGAATTGCGTCATACCCGTTACTGACCGGCAAGGGTCCGATCTGATCCATGGAGATGATTTCCCACGGCGCGTTTGGGACTGCATGCGGGTGCAAACTCCCTGTCCTGGCTCTTCTGGTCTTGGTCCGCTGGCACGCTTCGCACGTCTGGATGTATTTCCGAATTTGGTTCCCCATCCTTGGCCACCAGTAGTTCCTTTCCACCATCTCCTGCGTTCGGTTGGTCCCAGCGTGTCCGACCAAAGGGGTGTCGTGGTGTAGTCCGATGATCTTGTCCCGCAACTCCTCGTCCCTTGGTACATAGAGCTTCCCATGGTACGTGATGAGCCCATCTTCCTTCTTCCATCCGACGAGTGACTTCTCCAAGGCCGCCTTGACGCTTCCATCAACTGATCGAATGGCCTTGATTTCATCGACTAGCTGCTGATCCTGTCCCTCAAATGTGACTTCTTGTGATCGGAAAAACTCGGGCTTTAGTAGCGTGACGTCCTTGTTGTCGTTCTTGCCCTGATCGTGATCTGCTCGTCGAGATAAGAGATCCGCTTTGCGGTTGAGTGCGCCGGGCCGGTGTCGTAAGGTGAAATCGAACTCCGCCAACTCCGTGATCCATCGTGCTTGCCGTCGATTGAGCTTCTGCGGCTTCCGGAAGTACTCGAGATTCTGATGGTCGGTGAAGATCTCGAACGTCTCCGTGGCTCCCAGGAGTAACTGCCTCCATTCGTCAAGCGATAACATGATTGCGAGCATTTCCTTGTCGTAGATCTCGTAATTTCGCTCGGTTTCGGTCAGTGCGTGCGAAATAAATGCGATTGGGCGCCAAATGCCGTCTTGGTTTTGGCTCAAAACTGATCCCGTTGCCCCTTCCGAAGCATCGGCTTCCAGACGATATTGGCCAGTGTCATTTGGCAGTGCTAGGACCGCATCCTCCGCGATTCTCTTCTTCAATCCATCAAATGCCGCATGCTCATCTGCACCCCATGACCATCCTGCCTTTCCTGTCAGCCGTGTCAATGGCTTGGCAACCTCCGCGTATCCCCGGACAAAGCGCCGATAGAAGTTTGTGAACCCTAGAAACGCTTGGACTTGTTTGACGCTCTTTGGTTCGGGCCATTCCATCACGCCCTTGATCTTGACTGGGTCCATCCGCATCGAATTGTGTCCAATAATTACCCCCAAATATTCGATTTCCGTGCGTTCGAACTCGCACTTTTCGGGCTTCAGGTATAGCTTGTGTTTCTGGAGCAATTTGAGCACTCGTTTCGTGATCCGCCGATGTTCGTTCAAGTTTTCTGTGAAGATCAGTATATCGTCCAGATAGACTACCACGTGACCCTCGTTGATCAACTCTCGGAGTATGTCGTTCATCATGTTTTGGAACGTTGCCGGGGAATTTGTGAGACCAAAGAACATGACCAAGGGCTCGTACAGCCCTCGGTTCGTGCGGAATGCAGCCTTCCACTCATCACCCTCTTTGATCCGTACATTGTTATATCCCCACCGGATGTCAAGTTTTGTGAAGAACTTGGCGCCACATAGATTATGGACTAGTTCGGATATCAGCGGCAGCGGGTATCGATTCCGAATCGTCATCTCATTCAGCTTCCGATAGTCTTGAACGGGGCGTAGGGAGCCATCCTTCTTCTTGACAAAGAAGAATGCTGATGCCATCGGTGATTTTGATGGCCTGATCCGTCCACTGGCCAAGTTCTCTTGTAGGAATTCGTCGAGTTTGACTTGTTCATTGCGTGATAACGGGTACACCTTGCAGTCCACTGCCTTGGAACCAGGTTTGAGCTCAATTGCGTGATCCCATGCCCGTCGGTCTGGTAGCGAGTCAAACGATTCCTTGGCGAATACTTTGACAAATTCCCGATATTGATCCGGAATCTTCCCCTCGGTCATCCTCTCCTTCTCTTTCTCCGCTTCTTCTGCGAATTTCTGTGCCGGCGTTTCCTTCAGCCGCAGGTCTACTTCCTTCCCAAAATCGACCAACAAGATCGATTCTCCCTCTTCCAGATCCGGTGTGCCCATGTTCAGGTCAATTGCGTCCATGTCAATCATCGCTTGATGTTCCTCGTGACCCCTCATGTGACACCGCTCTGGGCACCGGCTGAACCTCATGGTCTGCTCCTGCCAATCCACTTTGGGGTTGTGTTCCATCAGCCAATCGAGACCGATGAAGATCCGGGCTTTCCCCAAGCACGTCAGAAGGAACGTGCGTGTCTCCACATGAGGACCGATTCTCATCCTCAGATCGACGTAGTGCGTGATCCGACCGCTTATGTTCTCGGTGTTGTCGGCGTTACGAGCCACAATGGGTTGTGGGAGCTCTTGAATATCCAACTTCTCCGCCCGTGCGTAGTCGGTATCGATGCAACAGGTACTGCAGCCGCTATCGAGCAGCGCCTTGACTCCGCGCGTTTTCCCTGAGTCCAGACCCGTGATCTGGACATATACGTCCATCGAATGTCTCTTCCTTTCGGCCTGGTAGTCGCGCAATTCCTGCGCCAGTCTGCCGGGCTGCGGGCCCTTCTGTTTCTCGGCCGCCAATTTCCTCTGGACGGCATCTGGCACCCTGGTGCGTTTGGGTGCTTCTGGAACCTTGATTTCGGCAGATTCCTTAGGCGCTTCCTCCTTTTTCAAGGATTGAGCCTCCGGAGCGATGCTCCCCTTTTCGGTCTTTGTTGACGTGGTTCCTTCTCCACGAGCCATAAATATGTATGAATCCAAAATTAATTTATCTGCAGCTTTCTGATCCTTTTTACTTTGTAAATACTCTCTATTTAAAGCTATTTTTCTTTGGCGTTCTTTTTCCATATCAGCAATGAGAAAATCGTGAATATTCGTACGTAGTGAGTCCGAGATTGTATATGTATGTGTAGAATCGTTCATGTCTTTAATTGAAACAAGTACAGAAAAACGTCCATAGTCCGGACGCTCCACCTCCTTGGCTAGAGGAGTGGAGCGTTTCAAAAACCCTTCTCGCGCAGCTTCTCGGCAATCTCCTTGAGGAACTCGTTGTCCTTGTCCCCGTTCTCGATCTCTTCAAGCATCGTGGCCCGATTGAAGAATGTGCGCTTCTTTCTTGGTTCCGGGCAGTTCCGCGCAATGTGCCCCGGCTGCTGACAGTTGTAGCAGATGATATTGCGGCCGCGGGCGTGGGTACGATCGATTTCCATTGGAACCGGTTCGTTGGCAGCGGGTCGGGCCGGAGCGGGTGCGGGCGCCACTGGTGCCGCTTGGGGACGGAACTGGGGAGGTGGTCGTTGTGTGGGGTGCCCATACGACGCTTTGCGCAGCTGGTCACGCAGAGCATTGGCTTCGATGTTGATGCACCAGGCTTTGAACGCTCCATAGGCCTTGGGCAGAGGGACACCGGTGTTGTAGAGACGGCTGGCGATCTCGCTGCTGAGTCCGCGCTCCAGGAACTCGATGAGGATATTATCCTGGTCCCCCTTCTTGTATTCGCCTTTGTCGTCGGTGGTGTCGACCACATTGTAGCCTGCATCCGCGGCCAACATCTCAAAGTCAGAGATGTAGTCCGCGAAGGACCGTTTGTTTTGGCGCAGGGCCATAAGCCGAGCAGCGGCGACTTGTTCCGCATTGGAGTCCCCGAACGCCCTCTGAAACTCCTCCAGGAAGTTCTTTGATGTGACTCCTGCCTTCAGTCCCTGGAAGCCCTCGAAGTTGTGCTGCTTCCAGTTCATTGCCCATCTCGAGGCAGCGCAGCTCGTGCTGTTCTCGTTACGGAGGTAGGAGAGGACAAAGAGGATTTTGGTCTCATCCTGCAAGAACTCCGATCGATAGGCACCGATGTAAGTGGTGCACGCGTCCACAAAGCCCAGGTATTTGGACTTGTCGCCATCGAAGTAGGGGGGATTGGCGGCGAGGGTGATGCGGTGATGCCCTGACATGGTAGGGGCAGGCGTGTGAGGTGGGGGCGAGGGTGGTTGTTCGGAGGGCAGTTCGTCGAGGTCGGGGATCTCGTCTTCAGGCGGTGGGAGGGCGAGGTAGGGGTTGGAGGGCCCGGGTTGGTTTTGATGCGCCAGATCGGGCGACGATGGTATGATGGGGGGAGGGGACGGACTCCCAGACGACGATGGGAATCGGTACGAAATGGTGGAATCGTGTGCTGTACAAGCACTCGAGGGAGGGTTCTTTTGCTAGCAAAAAGATCCCGGGCCTAACTCTTCACGTGCCCGATGATCCCGAGGTGCGTTTTCCCGAAGGTCTCCGCAGCACTCCTTGTAGCTACCGTAAGGCTTGGGTCGGGCTCAACGTTACCCGTGGCCTGGTGCTGTTTGCTTGATATGAACCCTTCACTGCGATAGTGGAGGACGACTAGATGATTTGGTAAAAGGGTGAGTGGGGTGATAAGGTTTTAAGAGGATATAGCGGGCGTAGCGGTGCGGGATGCAGGGTGAGAGGTATGAGGTAGGAGGGTATGAGGGGAGTCTTCGAATTATGTGACAATCAACCCAAAAACAAAGTCGAAAAGAGAAGTGAATTCGAAGACTGGAGAATACAACCAAATAGCTACAGTATTTATACCCAAGTCCAGTCTGAGTCATATCTACAACTAGTGAGTCATAAGGCTATGTACCGCATGGAGCACTGGTCATGGGTTGCAGTAGAACCTTCTGGAGCATGTGTCGCGCAGCCTTGGATCGATGAAGATAATCCCTAGGACCCCTAGCCCGGACCGTCTGATGCCGTGATCCGTGATAAGATAAGTCGTGCCAAGATAAGATAAGATCGTCGATGATAAGATGAAAAAGTGGCCGAACTATGACACAAACAATGGTATCTCAACCAATATCTTCTATACGAGCACAACCAACACTAATCCAATCCACCAACAACAAGATAACAAGTCAGAGCTTAATACGAAGTATTAAGATCCCTTGTAGCGACAGCGTCTAGATGGTGACGCAAAGCCCAAATATCAAGTCGACGCACTGCCAACTAGTAAACCAAAATGCTGCGTCGACGCACTGCCAACTAACAGCCAATATCCAATGTCCAAAACCCGAGCACAACTTGTCAACGCACTGCCAAGCAAGAAGTGTGGAACCAAAGTTCTCAAGTTGACGCACTGCCAACTGACCAAAACAACCCGAGCACAACTAGTCGACGCACTGCCAAGCTAGAGGTGTGGAACGATCTCAACAAAGCCCGAAGGCGACGACACTAAATGCCGCGACTAAACCAGATGCGGCGAATCCGACTTTCTGATCTCTCAAAACTCAAACTCAAATCACAGTAGCTACAAGTGCTCAGGGAGCAACTCGTCGCGACCGGGCAGGGGTAGCAGAACTTCTTAGGGTGGAATCACGCGGCATGCAAATTGTACAAAACAATCTGAAATGAGAGTGATTCACAGTCCGGGGGAAAGCTTTTTAATACAAAGAGACGACGTGCTACTTATACTGTCTACGACGATGCTTAGTAAAGTCCTGTACAACTGCATAGTAGCTACGCTATCTAAGATCGGTTGCCTTTTAGGGTAATTGAAAAGTTGAACGATCGGACAGGTCCTGAGTGATCAGGACCCTGCCCCATAGTCCATATGATACTTTTGATGTGGGTCAACCCACCGCGTCATACTTTTGGAATACGACGTGCTGGATTGGCCAACGGGTATGTCTTGGCAAGTGAGTCCAACGTGGGTGCCCCAAGAAGCCGTATGGCCCTAGGCACGCCAGTCGTCCCCCACATGGTTCGGTTCACGGATCTAGCCGTGTCGATTTTAGTGTGTTTGGGTATGGGCGCGACTCGCCATGACACTTGGAAGTGTCACCGCGACGCGTCCACAATGTCCCGTGATCGAATGGATCCTGACATGTGACAAGTCGTCGTCGTAGCACGATCTGAGGAAACGTCCAACTCAAAACCGGGAGTTGCCGCGACAAGATGGTTTTAAGTCTCGTAACGCCAAGTCCTGTCCAGTAATAGTTCTATTATTGAGAACGTCGCGCATTGCTCAGTCCTTCAGCCCAAGTTCCCATCTGCAGAGAATGACCCTTTTTGAGAAGTCGACGCAACAACAGATCCCTTTTTGGGGAATGGTCGCGGTCCAAGCATTTGTCACTAATGGCCCTGAGCCTGGTATAGACTCATAAGACCAGTTCCACAGTAGTGGTCTGACTGCCTTGCTATCGTCGACACTATCCACAGTCGTCGACTGGGCAGTAGACCCATAAGTCCTACTGAGCGCAACACTGTCAACCGCGACACGATACACCGAGTGGTTCAAGAGTAAACTCTGTAAAAAGCGCAAAAATACGCCCTTACAGAGCTGGTGCAGAGCGCGTCTGGTAGCCAGCCTATCACCGCGATTCTCCTCTTCAGTCCATCAAATGCCGCATGCTCATCTGCACCCCATGACCATCCTGCCTTTCCTGTCAGCCGTGTCAATGGCTTGGCAACCTCCGCGTATCCCCGGACAAAGCGCCGATAGAAGTTTGTGAACCCTAGAAACGCTTGGACTTGTTTGACGCTCTTTGGTTCGGGCCATTCCATCACGCCCTTGATCTTGACTGGGTCCATCCGCATCGAATTGTGTCCAATAATTACCCCCAAATATTCGATTTCCGTGCGTTCGAACTCGCACTTTTCGGGCTTCAGGTATAGCTTGTGTTTCTGGAGCAATTCAAGCACTCGTTTTGTGATCCGCCGATGTTCGTTCAAGTTTTCTGTGAAGATCAGTATATCGTCCAGATAGACTACCACGTGACCCTCGTTGATCAACTCTCGGAGTATGTCGTTCATCATGTTTTGGAACGTTGCCGGGGAATTTGTGAGACCAAAGAACATGACCAAGGGCTCGTAAAGTCCGCGGTTTGTGCGGAATGCAGCCTTCCACTTGTCGCCCTCTTTGATCTGTACGTTGTTGTATCCCCACCGGATGTCAAGGTTTGTGAAGAACTTCTCCTTCTCCTTTTCTGCTTCTTCTGCAAATTTCTGTGCCGGCGTTTCCTTCAGCCATAGATCCACTTCCTTCCCAAAGTCAACCAACAGGATTGATTCCCCCTCTTCCATATCTGGCATGTCCGTGTCCAGGTTGATTGCATCCATGTTGATCATTGCCTGATGTTCCTCGTGACCCCTCATGTGACACTGCTCTGGGCATCGACTGAATCTCATTGTCTGCTCCTGCCAATCCACCTCGGGGTTGTGTTCCGTCAACCAATCAAGACCAATGAAGATCCGAGCTTTTCCCAAACACGTCAGAAGGAACGTGCATGTCTCCACATGAGGGCCAATTCTCATCCTTAAGTCAACGTAATGCGTGATCCGGCCACTGATGTTCTTGGTGTTGTCAGCGTTTCGAGCCACGATGGGTTGTGGAAGCTCTTGGATATCCAGCTTCTCTGCCTGCGCGTAGTTGGTATCAATTCAGCAGGTACTGCAGCCACTGTCGAGTAGCGCCTTGACACCACGCGTCTTTCCTGAGTCCAGGCCCGTGATCTGGACATATATGTCCATCGAATGCCTCTTCCTTTTGGCCTGGTAGTTGCGCAATTCCTGCGCCAGTCTGCTGGGCTGCGGGCCCTTCTGTTTCTCGGCCGCCAATTTCCTCTGGACGGCATCTGGCACCCTGGTGCGTTTGGGTGCTTCTGGAACCTTGATTTCGGCAGATTCCTTAGGCGCTTCCTCCTTTTTCAAGGATTGAGCCTCCGGAGCGATGCTCCCCTTTTCGGTCTTTGTTGACGTGGTTCCTTCTCCACGAGCCATAAATATGTATGAATCCAAAATTAATTTATCTGCAGCTTTCTGATCCTTTTTACTTTGTAAATACTCTCTATTTAAAGCTATTTTTCTTTGGCGTTCTTTTTCCATATCAGCAATGAGAAAATCGTGAATATTCGTACGTAGTGAGTCCGAGATTGTATATGTATGTGCAGAATCGTTCACAGAAAATCGTCCAAAGTCCGGACGCTCCACCTCCTTGGCTAGAGGAGTGGAGCGCTTCAAAAACCCTTCTCGCGCAGCTTCTCAGCAATCTCCTTGAGGAACTTGTTGTCCTTATCCCCGTTCTCGATCTCTTCAAGCATCGTGGCCCAATTGAAGAATGTGTGCTTCTTCCTTGGTTCTGGGCAGTTCCGCGCAATGTGCCAAGGCTGCTGACAGTTGTAGCAGATGATATTGCGGCTGCGGGTGTGCATGCAATCAATTTCCATTAAGACCGGTTCGTTGGCAGCTGGCCGGGTTGGAGCGCGTGTGGACGCCGCTGGTGCCGCCTGAGGGCGGAATTGAGGGGGAGGCCGCGGAGTTGAGTGCGCATAGGATGCCTTACACAGCTGGTCGCGCAAGGCATTGGCCTCGATGTTGACACACCAGTTCTTGAAGGCACCGTATGCCTTGGGCAGGGGAACACCGGTGTTGTAGAGGTGGCTCACAATCTTGCTACTGAGCCCACGCTCAAGAAACTCAATGAGGATATTGTCTTGATCCCCCTTCTTGTATTTGCCCTGGTCATTTGTGGTGGTGACCACGTTGTATCCGGTGTCCGCAGCCAGCATTTTGAAGTCGGAGATGTAGTCCGCAAAGGACCGTCTGCCCTGACAAAGGGCCATGAGTTGGGCAGCAGCGACTTGTTCTGCGTTAGAATCCCCAAAGGCCCTCTGGAGCTCCTCCAAGAAGCTTGTCACGGTGACTCTAACCTTCATTCCTTGGAAGCCCTCGAAATTGTGCTGCTTCCAGTTCATTGCCCATCTCGAGGCGGCGCAGCTTGTGCCAGTCTCATTACGGAGGTAGGAGAGGACAAAGAGGATTTTTGTCTCGTCCAGCAAGAACTCCAATCGATAGGCACCGATGTAAGTGGTGCACGCGTCCACAAAGCCCAGGTACTTGGATTTGTCGCCATTGAAGTAGGGGGGATTGGCGGCGAGGGTGATGCGGTGATGTCCTGACATGGTAGGAGCAGGTGTGTTAGGTGGAGGTGGTTGTTTGGAGGGTAACTCGTTGAGGTCCGGGATTTTGTCTTCAGGCGGCGGGAGGGCGAGGTAGGGATTAGAGGTCCCGGGTTGGTTTTGGTGCGCCAGATCGGGCAACAATGATACGATGGGGGGAGGGGACGGACTCCCAGACAACGATGGGAATCAGAACAAAATGATGAATTTGTGTGCTGTACAAGCACTCGAGGAAAGGTTCTTTTGCTAGCAAAAAGATCCCAGGCCTAGCTCTTCATGTGCCCGATGATCCCAAGGTGCGTTTTCCCGAAGGTCTCTGCAGCACTCCTTGTAGCTACTGTAAGGCTTGGGTCAGGCTCAACGTTACCCGTGGCCTGGTGCTGTTTGCTCAATATAAACCCTTCACTGCGATTGCAGAGAACGACTAGATGATTAGGTAAAAGGGTCAGTGGGGTGACAAGGGTGAAGAGGATATAGCAGGCGTAGCGGTGAGGGATGCAATGATAAGAGGTATGAGGTAGGAGGGTAGGAGGGGAGTCTTCAAATTATGTGACAATCAATAAGAAGAGCTCTCTTGTCACCTCAAAGGCAAGTCAAGAATCAGTGCCAGCATTGTTGAGCACCTCATTAAGACCAGCCACCTTCCCGGTTTTTCAGGAAGTCTGCTTCCTGGGGATTGATTGGGTTGTGATTCATCACTCCTGCACTCATTCCCTTTGCCTGACTGGGCCCAAAATCTGCTCAGGCTGCAGCAAGTGTTTGTTGAGCTTGAGGAGGAGAACGATGCAGCAGAGATTGCCCAGGAGCTTCAGGGCATTGATGATGACCGCATACTGGACTTGATGGACCATTTACATATTACCACAATGGATGATAACTTGTAGTATATGTGTGGTACAATAATTCAATTGATTCAAGCGCTTTGGACTTATTGGAAGAGGCTTGGATTCGCTGGAAAGCCCGGGCCGGACCGGCATTCTATATGTATTGCCAAATCTGAGAAACATGGATTGTGTTATTGCAGTGAATCTTAGCAGGCAGAGTGTTGGGGCTGGTCATTGAAACAATATATACCACTCATAAGTGCAATTGTGTGAAGTTTATAATGAATCCAAGATGAATCTATGTTGGAATACCAAGAATAGTGATTGTTCTGGGCCACATTAGGGTGGAATTGCAATACTTTCCATCCTGTGGGCTTGTACGGCAGAGAATTTGGCTGAAAGCCATGACAGTTATTGAGCTACAGGGATACTACGTTGAACTGATTTATTTGGAACGCAGATTTACAGATCAAGAGCAGGAATAAGTAAAAGTTGTGTTAAGTGCGGTATGTAGATGCCCAACTACTTACACTAAAGGCCTGGATTTGGGTGTCTTTTGACATCCTCTCCAGATGAGCTCCAAAATCCCCAGACTTTTCAATGGAGAACGACTCAGGGAATGTCCCTGAAGCATTCTGGGCAGCCTGATTCACAATTAATAGCCTCAGTAGCCAGTCATTCATGGAAAACCTCGAAAATTTCGAAATTTCTGAATGTCAACCAAACAACTTCTGCTTGAAGTATGTTGTTGATATACATTCATGGAGCTCTTTTCTAGAATATGATGTTCTCAGCTTACTTCTGTCGGTCAAAATTGAGTGAACTATGCTGGCCTCTATTTGAACCTACTCTGATAGAAACTGGCCCGATTCTCGAGATTGGTAGGTATAATGATAAGGGATATAAGTTACCATGACAGAATAAATGTACAGAAGGCTTATCTGAACGTCCGATCTCTCACAGTATTGTTTCAATCCTGAATCTGGGGAAAGAGAGATGAGAGATCATTGCATGATTGACAGAAAACTGTCAATCAATCTTGTCACTCCGAACTCTGCACCATGTCCTTACCTCTGCTGGCATCAGCCGCACTTCCGTTGGATGCCCCCGTTCACCTCGGCCCAATTCCCAGTGCCATCCCCATTCTTTCTAACTGTGATTTTAGTCCACTGGGTGTGTACAATATCTGGCGTTTTCTCTTGCAGCATCCAGTTACGGCTACACTTTGGCAGACAACAAAGTCACCATTCTTGGCCAGTGACATTGTGTTTGCAGCCGCTGGCGCATGTACAGATGGTTGCCACATTGTTGCTCCAAACCGGTTCCATCTGCAGGTTTCGGACCTCTACAAGCACCTTCTGACTGGTCCCGTTGGCTTGCAAGCTCAACAGGAATGGGCAGGGCGGTGATAGGCTGGCTACCAGACATGCTCTGCACCAGCTCTATAAGGGCGTATTTTTGTGCTTTTACAGAGTTTACTCTAGAACCACTTGGTGTATTGTGTCGCGGTTGACAGTGTTGCGCTCAGTAGGACTTAAGGGTCTACTGCCCAGTTGACGACTGTGGATAGTGTCAACAATAGCAAGGCAGTCAGACCACTACTGTGGAATTGGTCTTATGAGCCTACACCAGGCTCAGGGCTATTAGTGACGAACGCTTGGACCGTGACAATTCCCTAAAAGGGATCTTTGTTGCGGCGACTCCTCAAAAGGGTCATTCTCTGCAGATGGGAACTTGGGCTGAAGGGCTGAGCAATGTGCGACATTCTCAATATTACAACTACTACTGGACAGGACTTGGCATTACGAGATTGAACCAATCTTGTCGTGGCAACTCCTGGTTTTGGGTTAGACGTTTCCTCAGATCATGCCACGGCGACGACTTGTCACATGTCAGGATCCAATCGATCACGGGACATCGTGGACGTGTTGCAGTGACACTTCCAAGTGTCACAGCAAGTCGCGCCCATGCCCAAACACACTAAAATTGACATGGGCTAGATCTGTGAACCGAACCATGTGAGGAACGTCTGGCGTGCCTAGGGCCATACAGCTTCTTGGGGCGCCCACGTTGGACTCACTTGCCAAGACATATCAGTTGGCCAATCCAGCACATCGTATTACAAAAGTATGATGCGGTGGGTCAACCCACATCAAAAGTACCATATGGACAATGGGGCGGGGTCCTGATCACTCAGGACCTGTCCGATTGTTCAACTTTTTCATTACCATAAGAAGCAACCGATCTTAGATAGCGTAGCTACTATGCAGTTGTACAGGACTTTACTAAGCAGCGTCGTAGACAGTATAAGTAGCACGTCGTCTCTTTGTATTAGAAAGCTTTCCCCTGGACTGTGAATCACTCTCATTTCAGATTGTTTTGTACAATTTGCGTGTCGCGTGATTCCACCCTAAGAAGTTCTGCTACCCCAGCCCGGTCGCGACGAGTTGCTCCCTGAGCACTTGTAGCTACTGTGATTTGAGTTTGAGTTTTGAGATATCAGAAAGTCGGATTTGCCGCTTCTGGTTTTGTTGCGGCACTCAGTGTTGTTGCCTTTGGGCTTTGTTGAGATTGTTTCCACACCTCTAGCTTGGCAGTGCATCGACTAGTTTGTGCTCGGGTAGTTTTGGTCAGTTGGCAGTGCGTCGACTTGAGAACTTTGGTTCCACACCTCTTGCTTGACAGTGCATCAACAAGTTGTGCTCGGGTTTTGGATATTGGCTGTTAGTTGGCAGTGTGTCAACGCAGCATTTTTGGTTCTACTAGTTGGCAGTGCATTGACTCAGAATTTTGGTTGTATTGGTTGGCAGTGCATCGACTTGATATTTTGGGCTCTGCATCACCATCTGGAAGCTGTTGCTACAAGGGATCTTAATACTCCGTATTAAGTTCTGACTTGTGATATTGTTGGTTGTGGTTTGATTAGTGTTGGTTTTGGCTGTATAGAAGATATTGTTTGAGACACCATTGCTTGCTATATATACATCCTTGTCGTTGACTTTGTCTTCTGCAACTATTGGATCCCGCATCTATTGAGAGTTCTAATACTGGTGTTCTGTTCACCCCAAAGCTCTTGCATCTTTCACACACCAAGAAGCTGATTACAAGGAGTGTGAACGTGCTTATATTTGGGCTTACTTTCATAGTAGATTCACTTGTGAGCACGCCCTCAGCATTTCAACGGTGTCGAAATTAATTCATCCAAATTCCAACCATCGGCCATGGTGGGTGATTTCGATGTGGCCGGTATACTGGTCAACAGTGCAATGTTGTGTGCAACCACCCAAGGATCACCTCAGGCCCCAGATCCTACACCACCCGAGATTCCTGTTGATGACCTGCGTTTGTCTTCATCTCGATCTCAGCCAGCTGTCCATCCTGATGAGGAATATGATGAGGTGAGTCTTCTGTCAAATCAATTTGTGCTTTCGAAGCTAACGAAATATTCAGAAAGACCAACTGAGGGAGTTCACACAGTCAAAGATTGCCGATTTTGAACGGGCAGCAGCAATACTCGAGCAGCAACTTGAAAATGTTGAGGAATCCCAGATATTGCTCCGAAGCCTCAAGCGCCGAAAGTTGGGTGATGACGTATCACACTTTTTCGGTGACTATCGCCATGCTACCAAGACGGGCCAAGTTCGACGTAACGTTTGGGGAATCAACGGAAGCAAGGCAGATCGGCGTTATAGCAAGAACACCATGGGCGCTAGATGATCTTTTCAATAATTGCGTCTACTCTATGCTTCTTATCAATTCTTTAGCTATACAGGCTGCTCAGGGATCTCGGACGCGCGACTTCACAGAAATGTGTCTAAGTCAAAGAGTAATGACGACATTTCACGCGGATGTTGACAGATCACTGATCTGACAGGTCATGTGCTTGCGCGACGGGTGGGGGTCAATAGGACTTATTCCGTCATACCACCGCTTCATGTGAGCCAACCCAAGAGCGGGGCTTGCGTGTCATTGCCAATGATCGCCCTCGTTCTCTCATAGCATGATCTTCCGGACTTCCACCGCTTGATCTTGTGCGTTCTTTTCAATGCACTGTTCCACGGGTACTCATCTTACCTAGCTTGGCTCTGACTGCAAGCGCGTCCAGTGGTTGTCATGCTGTCCCGATCCGTGTCGTTCGAGCGCTGTATCCACCAGCATGCACATGAATCTCAGCTCTATCGATATACCCGTCTCCGCACATGACTCCCCGAATCCCCATTGTCTCGCCCCCGCCCTGTCCCATCTTACTTCTTAGAGCAAAATAAGGAATTCTTGTAGCGCGATTACGTGAAGCACGTGCCAATCATTTACTCTATCAGCGCCGTGCGTCCTATTCGCTTCGACTAGATACACGTTTATTGACATGTGTTTTGTGTTCTTATTCACGTCTCGACTGTAGATCGTCCCGAGTCTCCTATGAAACTGATATTTTCGGGTAACACGGGCAGATCGGATCTTACATAGCTTTGCATAGCCTTGAACAGCCTTTCGAGCCTTACTTATAAACCTCTAGAGCCGTATGTATTTGTAAAGCGTCAAATATCAAGTATCTTCATCGCATTATCCCTCGAGTCACGCAGCTCCTCGTCACCTCTCTATCCATCGCGAAGTGCTAACAGCACCTGGGATCGATCGAGAGACTTCGAACGAAAATCGATAGCCATTGGTAAGCATCGCTGAAGGCATCCTCTCATCTGCCCATGCAGTCCCCCAACCACGAGCGCTCGGAAATCTACGTCTCAGTGCCGCCCGAGCTCTGGGCTAGAATCTGGGCCAACTGTCCCCGCCCCCGCCTATGTCGGATAGCGCTCGTTTGCCGCCTCTTCCGTGATACAGTGCAGCCACTCCTCTTTCACGAAATCGTAACGTCCTGCGCACCGGATGCCGAATACCGCGTCGCGTCATCGAATTGGTTTGAAATCACCAAGAAGATGTGTCGGGTCACAGCGATGTTCAACACCCTCCCTCACAGTGCTCTGGGAGACTCCGTCTTCGAGCTGACATTCCGTGGGACCCGAAACCCAGGCTTCGTCTCACCCACAACCCGAGATGTGGAAATGACAGTGAACATCGGACTTGTGAAGCAGAGCTTCGAGTTGGCTATGACATCATTCAAGGAAAACCTTCCCGCGTTCCGCAATTTGCGATCGCTCGTTCTCTACAGTGTCGTGATCGATGAAACGATTTATGCCGTCTTAGAGCAGATGAAGGCGCTGGAGGACCTGTCCATCATGGCCATCGACTTCGATCGGTTCTGCGACCCGCCCGGATCACTTTTGCGTCTCCTTAGTGTGAAGGCCATGATGTATGACGGGCGCGAAAGGGCTTCGACGCCGCATCTGCTATGCGCTCCCCAGGACGTGATAGAGCTGGATATTGAATCTAGTTTCTTGCTGGGATTCTCGAATCTCGGTCAATGCTGCGTCAATCTCCGTTCTTTGACCTTGGCGCGCGCGGTCTCTACGGAAGACTGCGACGATTTCTTTCGATTCCTTCACTTGTGTCCGAATCTGAAGCATCTGAACATTAGTGCAGTTGACAGCGACAAGCCTTGTCAACGCGTTTTTGATCCAATTCTCGTTCCACAACTTACTTCCATCCATGCGGATCGTGCTTGGACGCGATTCTTCGCTTTCGGGAGACAGATCACGGCAGTCAACTTCTGGCGCAGCCACTGGTACGATGACGGAGCCGATGGCTGGCCCGATCTCCTCAGAACGCTCGAAATCCTCCATGACGCCCAGATCCCGTTGACACAGGCGTCCTTCTGGGTCCCCACATATTCCGTCCCACTCCTCTGCACGACCTTGGCATCTTTCTGGCCACAGTTGGAATCACTACGAGTATCGACTTCAGATCAATACGGATTCCCCAGGCCTCTGCGTGGCCGCCCCAACAATCCCCTGCGCCTCCCCGCTTCGCCAGTTTTGGACGAACGCACAGTTGATCTCACAGTCGAATGGCATCCGGCGCCTGATGTCGAGACCATTTCCCGTCCTGAATCGCCACAAGAAAGCTCGATAGAGGACGCAGAGCGGGATGATCCCGACGCAGAGGAAGACTCGTTTGATGTGAATGGGGTCCGGCGTCCGCGTCGGCCAAAGCAACCTGCTCGCTTTGAGGTGCGTCATGCATGATCAGTCCTGTCACAATTTCATGACGCAAATTCAAGACTCTGCTCCGGAATATAATAGATGACGACTTTAAATTCCCACCTGCATTGAAAATACTCGAATTAAGTTCCGGGCACCTTGGCTCTGGTTCGATCTCAAGATACCGTCTGTACCCCATTAAATTAGGGCATGATGTGATCAAGGCACTCGGAAACCGAATCCCTGCGCTCCAGAGGATTCAACTGGGAAGCACTCACCAGTCATGGAATCGGTACCAAGGCGGATGGTCTGATGGGTGCGTGAATTCGCTTCTTTCAAGCAACCCGACTCTGATTTTGAATAGCGGACCACTCATCTAGAGCATTTTCTGACATAGAAACGTCTATCAAGCTCGATAGCAATTTCGAATCATGTTTCACTCAGCACGAACAGAACAACGTGAAAAGGTTGTCGATTCGGAGTCTCGTTCCCGCGTCCGCAGCGTATCTATCCGATTCTGTAGTAGATAAGTAGCTCCGCGAGCAAAGGGAGGCGTAAACAGTAGTTATAAAGCATCTTCAATTCTGAGGGCATGGGAGAAACGACGAGGAAGATCGTTGCTGAGGGAAAACCTCGCTTTATATTATACGTTATTATTATTATTAAATTCCTCTTTTATTCCCTTTCGTCCCTAAGGATATGGTGGGGATTCTTCCTACACTATTTATGCGCTCGGGCTGGCCGCTTGCGTGGGTTTCCTTTCGCAATGCTTTATATTATACGTGACACCTCAATGTGCGCGAGAGGTCATCAGTTCGATCCCGAGGTGGAATCATTTCATTTCCAATACGCAGGTCTCGATCGTTGGTGCTGAACAACCGTCACTTGGCTTATGTACATATGCCTGGAATAGCTTTAGCCCATCACAACCGGCGCGAAACCCGTCATGCTCCCTCCAGTTCACGATTCAACGCGCGGGAAGGTGGCCGATTAAGCGGCGAGATGTACATAGGCTACACACTCTTGATGAAGTCCCCTTTCGCTATGCCTGTCGCAACATTGGGTACTACTTGAAGAGTCAAAGTGAAATTGTCGACGACTTGTATGTTCTATCACGTTTATTGATCGAAAAGTAAGGTATGATGCTACTGGTGTTCCACTCAGAAGCTAGTAATATTAAATCTGAACGCAGTACTGTTCGGCTGCACACTGATTCAAGTAAGCCGGCAACACAGGTAGGAGGCCATCCAGAGTTGTATCATGCGCAACGACAACGAGGAAGTCTGGATCCGCGTCGAACGAGGCGATTTTGTCGAGCGACACCCGGGAAGTGACGGGATCTTCATAAAACGAACCCGCGCCGTCAGTGACTTGAGGTCGAATTCACCGAGTTCGCTGTCGGGGGACCAGAAATAGTCGGTCGATATCCCCGATTTGGCTGCCTCGACGAGCTCTCCGGGGCAAGGATACGCCACTTGAAGTTCCGGTCGGGGACGCAGTTGACCCGAATGATGGTAGGTGTCGCCGCTGAGAACAATGAAGGACGAGGATGTGGTGCGTGCCAGAGTGGTGAGATGTCCAGACATATGCTGCGAGAAGTTCAGCTAGGGTGTAACGAGAGCGGAAGAAGTTCCGACATACCCCTGGGGTGTTCATAAGATAAAAGCTGCCGTCGCCGAAGTAATCGAGAGCCTGCAGTCCACCGAAGGTGATGTTGTTCTTCGAAAAGTCGATCTTTGTGACTTTGCGCCCTCTGTATGCGTGTGTCAAAAATGGTAATGCGAAAAAGGGAAGACCAATTAAGTACGCGAAATCCGCATCCTTGAGCATTGCATTCGCCACAGAGGGGTAAGTCGCGTCGCGGAACCAATCAGTAGCTCAGTGGTATTTGGGAATTGCGACATGTCGCCCTGTCATGCGGTCATGCCATATCTTCGATCTCGCAGCGAAACTCACAATGTGGTCGAACTGCGCGTGACTGATTACATTTCAGCGTTCCACTTTAAGACACCAAAGCCGGAACGTACCTCCACATCACAGCATTGATACTCTGCAGGGAAATTCCGCCCGCCACCAGCATCTTCGGGATACCGCCCGCCACATCCGCCACCTTCGCAAAGCCATTCGAGAAATAAGCAGCGGTGGTCGGCGGGAGGTTCTCCGGGTCGCTTTGCAGCCCGAGATCGATCATGATACGCGTCCCGTTGTGTTCCACGAGAAACGCGTACATGGAGACAGGGATGTTTTCGTGTCCAGGCACGACCGGGGTCAAGAACGCGCTGGCGCCACCGGTCATGTAACCGCCGGTCACCTTGAACGCGCGCACATTGACAGTCGCGTCCGAGTATGGGATGCCAAAGTCGTGGAAGGAGGCCAAAGTGGATGATACGAGCGAGAGGAATATGGCTGAGCGCGTTGCCAACATCTGAGGGGTTGGTTGTCGGAAGCGACTTGAAGAGGACTACTTAAATTCGACCATCCTTTATATGCAGCAGAATCTGACGCTAGAGATCGCTTACCGCGCCACCAGCGGTATCCAATCCAACCTAAAAAGGGACCTCGCGCCAATATGATCTGGCTCCGTCGCTCCGTCGGAGCAAGCTAGCGCCGATTCAGCTCAATTCCGTTTGTAGTACTGGAACGCGGCTTTCCGTCATTCGCGGGCAAATCATGAAGAACGTGCATGATCTCGTAAAGGATGCAAACCAGCCAAATGGCATGGCCGAGAGCAAGCTGAGAAAGTTTTAAGAGGTGCCACAGAGCAAGTTGACAGATACTAGAGCTAGAGCAGACTTCACATACCGGCTTGCGTAAGTGGCTTGCCCCGCATGTCGGAGTTTGAATTTGGCTGATCGGGCTTGGCTTGCGTGGCTTGGGCGTGGGCTTGGCTTGTGCATCACTTTCGCTGACGGAAATGTCATGCTCGTCCTTCGGCTCGCTTCCGCCGCTGCAGCTCACTTCGCATCCTCGCGCTCAATCAAAGTCAACTTTACTGGTGCCAGTGCTCAACGGCTGTCTCCTCGATCTCTTACACCACCCACGGTGCTATCAATCACGTCGGGGCTGACGCGCTACATGTCCCTTTGTCATCGCGCATGCGCTGTGGTACGTAGTCATTAAATAAACCCTCTTTTTCCCCCCGGAGTCACTCGAGCCTTCTTTTGAGGCGGCGCTGGCGTCTTGCTGGCCGGCGCGGCAGCCCTCTTGCCCTGCTGCCGCTTTGGCCGTTTCTGAGCTGGGAGGTCCTCATCTTGTGAACTCTCGGCGCGTGAGCGTTTGCGGACGCTGGCCACAGTCGCAACCTTTCTGCGCAGCTTCGGTCGCTCCGTGGCTGTGGGCTCTTGTGAATCCTCGGTGCGTGAGCGTTTGCGGACGCTGGCCACAGTCGCAACCTTTTTGCGCGGCTTCGGCTTTGGTCGTTCCGGTGAAATGCTGAGGGCGTGCTCACAAGTGAATCTACTATGAAAGTAAACCCAAATATAAACACGTTCACACTCCTCGTAATCAGCTTCTCAGTGTGTGAAAGATGCGAGGGCTTCGGGGTGGACAGAGCACCAGTATCACAACTCTCAATAGACGCAGATCCAATAGTCGCGGAGACGAAGTCGACGACAAGAATTTATATATAGCAAACAATGGTCTCTCAACCAATATCTCCTATACGAACACAACCAACACGAATCCAATCCACAACCAACAATATAACAAGTCAGAGCTTAATACGAAGTATTAAGATCCCTTGTAGCGACAGCGTCCAGATGGTGACGCAAAGCCCAAATATCAAGTCGACGCACTGCCAACCAATACAACCAATATACTGAGTCGACGCACTGCCAACTAGTAAACCAAAATGTCGAGTCGACGCGCTGCCAACTGACACAACCAAAAGTACTGAGTCGACGCACTGCCAACTAACAGCCAATATCCAATGTCCAAAAACCCGAGCACAACTTGTCGACGCACTGCCAAGCAAGAAGTGTGGAACCAAAGTTCTCAAGTCGACGCACTGCCAACTGACCGAAACAACCCGAGCACAACTAGTCGACGCACTGCCAAGCTAGAGGTGTGGAACGATCTCAACAAAGCCCTAAGGCGATGACACTAAATGCCGCGAAAATACCAGATGCGGCGAATCCGACTTTCTGATATCTCAACTCAAACTCAAATCACAGTAGCTACAAGTGCTCAGGGAGCAACTCGTCGCGACCGGGCAGGGATGGCAGAACTTCTTAGGGTGGAATCACGCGACACGCAAATTGTACAAAACAATCTGAAATGGTAGTGATTCACAGTCCGGGAAAAGCCCCCTTAATACAAAGAGACGACGTGCTACTTATACTGTCTACGACGCTGCTTAGTAAAGTCCTGTACAACTGCATAGTAGCTACGCTATCTAAGATCGGTTGCCTTTTAGGGTAATTGAAAAGTTGAACGATCGGACAGGTCCTGAGTGATCAGGACCCCGCTCCATCGTCCATATGATACTTTTGATGTGGGCCAACCCACCGCGTCATACTTTTGGAATACGACGTGCTGGATTGGCCAACGGGTATGTCTTGGCATGTGAGACCAACGTGGGCGCCCCAAGAAGCCGTATGACTCTAGGCACGCCAATCGTCCCCCACATGGCTCGGTTCACGGATCTAGCCGTATCGATTTTAGTGTGTTTGAGTATGGGCGCGACTCGCCGTGACACTTGGAAGTGTCACCGCGACGCGTCCACAATGTCCCGTGATCGAATGGATCCTGACATGTGACAAGTCGTCGTCGTGGCATGATCTGAGGAAACGTCCAACTCAAAACCGGGAGTTGCCGCGACAAGATGGTTTAAGTCTTGTAACGCCAAGTCCTGTCCAATAGTAGTTCTATTATTGAGAACGTCGCGCATTGCTCAGCCCTTCAGCCCAAGTTCCCATCTGCAGAGAATGACCCTTATTGAGAAGTCGACGCAACGACATATCCCTTTTTGGGGAATGGTCGCGGTCCAAGCGTTCGTCACTAATGGCCCTGAGCCTGGTGTAGACTCATAAGACCAGTTCCACAGTAGTGGTCTGACTGCCTTGCTATCGTCGACACTATCCACAGTCGTCGACTGGGCAGTAGACCCATAAGTCCTACTGAGCGCAACACTGTTAACCGCGACACGATACACCGAGTGGTTCAAGAGTAAACTCTGTAAAAAGCGCAAAAATACGCCCTTACAGAGCTGGTGCAGAGCGCGTCTGGTAGCCAGCCTATCACCGGGGCTACGGGTTCTTGTTCTTCCTCGCTCCCCAGGCGCTCTGGAATCACTGCCAGGATTGCATCGATCGGCGCGGCACCACTAACACGGCGATAGACAGGCCGAATGTGGTGCGCATCATATGTGCAATGATTTGCACGGAATTTTCTTTGCACCTCCCCCAACTCATTCAGCGTATTCCAGCGGACCCGCCAGATTTGAAACATCGCTGATTCGACCGCATCCACGTGCTTTGGGGGACAAGCCAGAATGGATTCCGAGCGAAGATCCTACACACCATTAAGATTAATACGGCTCACAACACTCTGTCTCCGAGCGATATCTGCTAGAATCAGCGCATAAGCAAGTATATTTAATGTATAGAAGCTTGCGCGCTTTTTAGGGCTGCCTAAAACATATATCTTCAGTAGGTTTTACAAAATTTCTTAATCCTAGGCCGAAATCAACTGAGGCGTACTTGCTAGACTGCGAGAGACATGTTTTGTCAAGTCACCTTTGCACAATATAGCGCTCTCTTTGTGCGATTCCACTGGTTCGCAGCCTTAATTCATGCTGTAGAATGTAATGTCCATGAACTGTGTGCATTCATGGACATAAACTGGATCTACTAAGAAGGACAGATGCTCGGCCGTGGTTCGAGGCTCGTAGATAGATTCATTGACGTTCGTAGCGGGAAAGGATCGATCTGTATGCTCTTGAACGGTAAACAGTCAAATTTTGTTCAACAAAACGCTGACGCAAAAACTTAAACACAGTGTTGCGCACCGCTTCCGTGAATAATTCAGAGGCAGAAACAGTCTCTGACTTGGTTGCAGCGAAAAAGCCCACCGGCTTGCGGTCCTACAATGCCGTAGCAACCCAAGTTGAGACCAGGATCTTCAAAACTGATCATTCACAAACTGTATGGCAAACCGTAGCTCATCCATGCTGCAATAAGCCTTACTTATCTTAAGCAACGTCCCGAAACACTTGTAGAGCCGCGAAAAGTGCTAGAGTATAGAAATATTCATATTTTATTTGGCCGGACACAAGCCAAAATGTTGGCTTGGCAAGCCGACATTTTGGCTTGCAAGCCTGATGGCATCACTCACAGGCCAAATCCCATCACAAGCCAAAAAAAGCCACTTGGCGCGGGCACAAGCCACTTCGGCAAGCCAAAAACGTCGCTGTCGAGCTAGAGTATGTCGATCACTGATCGCACACGCGGCAAGCCTCGGTGACTTAAAGTTTATCCGATAAGCTTAAGCTTACACCAGAGGAATGTTCCCCGATTCCGAACCTCGCCGCTTGCAGAGGTGTATCATACGGACATGCTCGAATAAAAGGACCGTTAACTAAATGCATCACCGCTTCCTTACTGTGGTCCACATGGCTCGCATGAGTACAAGGGCCCCATTCCCAAATGCCGGTGTTTCAGTCCGGCGGCTCAGGCTCAGGCCTCTTTTAAGTGTTTTCTGATTTGGCCGCCGAGGTCCAGATTAAGATTTACTTCATCTCGGACTGAGATCAGGGAATTCCTCACTTTGAATTTGGCGATTTTCGCCTACATCTATGCAAGATTTGGTTGAGATTTGGTGCTCTCGAGTCTCCCGCCAGAACCGACCGGAAGCTGGGTCTTCCACGGAACATAAGAGTCAAAATGTCGCGGGCTCCGCCCGCCATGTACTCTATCTGTATGGCGGTCCAAATGCACATTTATTAATCCCGCGCCCGAAGCATGATTTTGACCATCCCCCGCGCGAATTTGTTCAAAATCAATGTTTTGCTGGACGCGGGTTCTGGACCGGTTGGGGCTAGCCTCGCGGGGAATCGGACACTAGCAGGTATCGCTTCCTCTCAAATCTTCCACCTTCCAACTCTTTGCTCATACATGTTAACAGATCGAAGTTCTGTGCCCAAGCACGCGATATGTTTCAGCGTCAGTCCAAGTTACATCTGAGGGAAAGCGATCGCAGCTGATTAGATTAGTGGTGTCTCATCCGGTCCGGTTTCCCGCTCAATCTTGGCCGTCACATAGGCACAATGAAGGGAAGGGAAGTTCGGATGAGTTGCCATTGGGCGGCTACTTACATGGGTCGGAAAGGAGGTGGCGAGGAGGATGGGACCATTTGGCGGATTGTCATCGGTCTAACTGAGACTCGTTCTGATCGCACCACACACTACATAGATCTGCCAGTGCTTATAATGTTCCGAGGGCGAGTTCGCATCTGGCCTTGGCTCCCGCGGCAACGATCTGGGATCGGATCTTGGCGGTCCAACTTTGAAAGAGCGGTTTCACATAGTTTGTAAAGATCGGTACAAGTGTAGAAGAGAGCGCGAACGAACAGAACAATTGGCTCGTTCATCCAACCATGCACGCACCGCATTCTCGTTCTGAGCGACTCGACTCGACTTACTCGGCTTGTTCTCGGCACTCAAAAACGACTTCTGGCAAACACGACTTCTGGCAAACCATATTAGTCAACTCAATGGAAGTTCAAACAATCATGAATCATCGACGACTACAAGATGGTCATTACAGAACCCAACATCATGATACTTCCAATCATCCTCACTGGGAACAGATGGGCGCACCCGCTGTCAACTGCGCGTCTTGGAGCTGCTTAACGCGTTGGTTGAAGTTAGGATTAGCCCCTTGACCCTCGGCATACAGAGAATCCGAGAGTGCAACGCCCTTGGGAACATTCTTACAGAGGATGTTGGAATGAATGATGGTGTTGGGTCCAACAAGCCCGTCATCGATCGTCTTCTGCTGGAGCATGGCGTACTGGAAAAAGCTATCGGTAAAAGGTTTGGGTTGGCCTATTGAGATCCCTCAGTTTTCAAGGAATCGGGGTTCTGTGAGCGGAAGGACGTACCATTGTTAGCTACGGGCCCAACAATCATGTCGCTGTTGGAGAGGATCTCGTCGGCCGCGGCGCCTTCTTCTTTGCTGACATTTTCTGGTCCAGCACCATTGTGAGTCACAAAGCTCAACCACGCCTGATCTCTGGAGGCAAAGTTGTGAATTCTTGTGTTAGTCGGAGGATTCCATTCGAATTCTGACACTTTTGTCAATGCCTAAAAATGCCTAGATATTGGGGACCCACCAACAACATCCACAGACGAGGCAGCTATAGCAGCCGCACTAGACAGAGTGTTCGCTTGGATGAGACACGCAAACTGCGCCGCGCCCAGGAGACTGTCTGTGAGGTAAAATGCGGCTTTTGGAGCGCATCAACGATTAGTTGGTGACATGATAAGATCTGACTGATGACGCACAAGATCCATGGTTGAAGTCACCAATCTGGGCTTCGATCTTGGACAACAAAGGCTTGGTTTTCACGCTTTGCGAACTGCCCTTGTCAGTGCCGTGGAAAAGACGAACGCGCGAATGGCCATCCGGATGCTCAAGCGGATTCCTCGCAAAAATACCCGCGAGCTCCCGCTCTTCGCTCGAAAGGTAGTCCCGCGCAGCAATCTGTCTTGCGCTACAGGCTGGTACCGTCGAGTTCTTGGACTTGGAGGGGGAGAGCACCGGTTTCTTGGTGTTGGGCTTCGCGGTAGCAGGCTTCTTCGAAGCTGGCTTCGCAACAGGCTTCGCTTTGGGCTTGGATGCCGGCTTCGCCACGGGCTTCGCGGCAGGCTTGGAAGCCGGCTTTGCCACGGGCTTGGCGACCGGTTTCTTGGCAGGCTTGGAAATGGGCTTAGCCGCCGGCTTGGAAATGGGCTTCGCCGCCACCGGTTTGGAAACAGGCTTAGCGGCCGGCTTGACCGGTTTAGTGACGGGCTCCTTGACAGCAGGCTTTGCGACGGGCTTCTTTACAGCAGGCTTCGAGATGGGTATCGTAGAGACAGGCTTGGATTTTGGGATCGATTTAGGCTTTGCCCGAATGTTCAAATCCTGTGATGCAAAACCGGGTTAGACAGAGCATAGTGCCAGTTGATATGTCACACACCTGTAAACCCGCTTCGAAAGGCTGATCCAGCTCCTGCGGAACCGGAGCGGCGATCACCTGAAGCGCGAGTATGAAAGCCAGCAGAGTAGTGAATGAGAGCTTCATGATGACGGAACAATGGATCAACCAAGGAAAGGAGGGCGAGAAAAGAAGAGAATAAAAAGAGAAGAATATGGAAGAAGTAAGGGGAAGAAAGGCCGACCAAGCGGGTTCGAACGAGAAAAGGATGGAATGAGCCTTGTGGAGATTATACGCGCCTTATAAGATCCATTCATGAGGCTGTGGGCCTTGAGTTGGAACTTGGATAGCGCCGATGATGACCCGAACCCGCGTCTGCAACACCCGTACCGCACGGGCCGGGTATCTTCGCGTTATACATAGATTGCCAGCGTACCCGCGCAACCAACGGGTCTAAGCATCTCCACGGGTGAATTTGCGCCCGTTCAAAACCCGTGTCTATCTGCACCGATTTATGCGGAGTTTCAGACAGAGACGCTCAAAGTGCGGGAAGCCAACAAATAGATCGGGAGCGGCGACGAGATTTTACCGCCGAGCTACCGTCCGTGCCGGTTTACCGGTCTAGGGCGGTAATCGGCGGTAAGTCAAACGCAAAAAGATGCACTACGGTGCGCACGGTCTTATTAAATAGACATGTTCATAGACCTGTAAAATACGTACAGTATCAGCCACAGAAATATTGGTTCAAAAAGACTTGAAGATGAGCCCGTGCGACTCAACACATTTCGAGCCTCGGGCGGTAAAGTACTGTTAACCGGCAGTAGCTGGGCGGTAACAGGGCGGCAAACCAGTAATGTGGGCGGTAGATGGGCGGTAAGGTATGGAGGCCCGGAAGGCCCTGCTCAGAAGCAAGACAGTTGATGTTGATACGCGATGCAAGGACCCCATGAACTGATTACGTACTCCCCTTACACATGTTTTTGACACTATGATACTAGAGCTGTTCAGCAGAACCAAAAAATCGATTTGTTTTTTACGAGTTTCCTGGTTGTGGAGTGGACTTTACTTCCCAATTACTTAGGTGTGGAGTGTCGTAGGAATCGTACCGAGGCCGAATTCTGACCGAATAGGAAACATGCCACCGAAGACAGATCTGATCATTCTGCACGTGTAGGCAGATTGAATGCATCGTTGCCCTCCATATTGGCGAGAAGACCAAGAACAACCGCAAGGGTTCGATTTACAGCATTGGTGAGGAAAGATGGCATCCTCCGCCATGGAGTTTGAGTTCAGATGAGGACAGGAAATGAAGTGGTGGTTTGGCGGCTCGGCTCATCACATGATCATAGTGACGGAGTTCCCTGCGTTCATCCGGTGTTGTTTGTAACTCAGATTTTCCTAAGCTCCACTCATATTTTACAAACTATTAGCTAAAAATCGTGTTTGAAACGACTGCTGAACAGCTCTACTATCTCATTGCATTCATACAACAACTCGTTGAGGGACAGATTCAATGAGTATGAGATTAAGACATGACTGCTAGTCTTGACTTCTCGGGTCTAAATTGGGTAATTTACCATTCATCCGCTGCAGCTATATCCTCAGGTCCTTCTTCATCTGAGAACCAAGCTTGAACGACCTCGTCGTCATTGTCATCGCTGCCAGCCTCCCCTGGAACGTTGGGTTCTACGTCATCAATAAGTTGCCGTAAATGAGCTCGATGCCCATCATCTGTTATCGCAGTCAGATATAGAAATTTAGAATGAAAATGACGTACCAAGTCCGTTGCCACCGTTGACACCTCCTGCGTAAAATCCGACAATATCCTTGTCACCACAAAGCAGATGCAAGTTCGGGATGGGCTGCATCTCGTCGAGATACAGGTCCTCTGCTTGGATCAGCGCAAAACATCACAACTCGTTCACACTGCTGTCCATGGTATGAGTTTCATCTAAGTGTTTAAAACGATCAAGGAGCTGATGATAGATGTCACAGCATGTCTCGCGATTGACAGGAGGCTTCCCAATTTCTTGATAGAATCCACTTATCAGCACATCAAAGTCTGGCGGAACCAGGTTGAAAATGTTGTGATCAGGTGACGCGTATTCTTACTGCACTGTGTCAATATGCTCTTGCTGGACTTTGATCTGAAACCTTGTGAGTCTCGAAACTTATAGTAAAAGTATCAGAAACGCGCCTTGAAGTCAAGCACTGCATATTCCTCAGGATACTCCAGCATGTGCTGCGGGACGCCATGTGGGAGGATCTTGTTACAATCCTGGCATTTCACAGTCAGGTTGACGCAATTTCGGTAGGCTTCTAACTCCGCTTGTACCCAGGGGATGAAAATCCACCAAAAGACAAGCCTAAAAATATAGTTAGATCAGAGAGTGGAGCAATAAGATTAAACTTACGCCTGCAGAAGGTTGCTGGTATCGTACCAGCTATTATTCACTCCTTCATCGAGAATATTCTCGAAACCAGGTGTAAATTGATGGCGCATCATGCTCCAGGTGATCTCCAGCATAACATTTTTCTTCTTGCACACCTTGGACACCCCACATTTGTACCTCGAGAGGTACCTTTTTGAGGCCCAAACAAGGTACCTCAGTGGTAGTGGGTGGCTGTGGGCTGGGCGGCTGCTGGCCCCCCCCAATGCTCTGGGCGGCCCCGCTCAAAAATCCATGGGCAGCCAGTGGGCAGCCTTGGGCGTGCCCACGGCTCCCGGGGTCCTGATAGCGCGCGCAGCGCCCGAACATTTTCTGTTTTTTTGGCCTATTTGGAAAGTAAAAGTCATGTATATTTTTGCAACCTATGCAATAATACTGGCATAGAATGTAACATATGACTTGTATTTATGAACATATTATGAATGCAACATGACTTATTCTTTCTCTTAAGGATATATCAAGTCACTATTTTGTAGGCTTATGGACTCGAAGAAAAAAAATCCTTATCTTGTGCACTTTATGACTTGAGTGAATGATGCATACAGATGTTTTTTTATATTCTCTTTCAAACATAGATGTATTCTCAGCAACAGAGGTGATTCTTGAGCACAGGAAAAATGTATGTGACATATTGACGCCTAGGCAAGTGTGAGCCCGCTGAAATGCTGAGGGCGTGCTCACAAGTGAATCTACTATGAAAGTAAACCCAAATATAAAACACGTTCACACTCCTCGTAATCAGCTTCTCAGTGTGTGAAAGATGCGAGGGCTTCGGGGTGGACAGAGCACCAGTATCACAACTCTCAATAGACGCAGATCCAATAGTCGCGGAGACGAAGTCGACGACAAGAATTTATATATAGCAAACAATGGTGTCTCAACCAATATCTTCTATACGATCACAACCAACACTAATCCAATCCACAACAACAATATAACAAGTCAGAGCTTAATACGAAGTATTAAGATCCCTTGTAGCGACAGCGTCTAGATGGTGACGCAAAGCCCAAATATCAAGTCGACGCACTGCCAACCGATACAACCAATATACTGAGTCGACGCACTGCCAACTAGTAAACCAAAATGTCGAGTCGACGCACTGTCAACTGACACAACCAAAAGTACTGAGTCGACGCACTGCCAACTAGTAAACCGAAATGCCGCGTCGACGCACTGCCAACTAACAGCCAATATCCAATGTCCAAAACCCGAGCACAACTTGTCGACGCACTGCCAAGCAAGAAGTGTGGAACCAAAGTTCTCAAGTCGACGCACTGCCAACTGACCAAAACAACCCGAGCACAACTAGTCGACGCACTGCCAAGCTAGAGGTGTGGAACGATCTCAACAAAGCCCGAAGGCGACGACACTAAATGCCGCGACTAAACCAGATGCGGCGAATCCGACTTTCTGATGTCTCAAAACTCAAAACTCAAATCACAGTAGCTACAAGTGCTCAGGGAGCAACTCGTCGCGACCGGGCAGGGATGGCAGAACTTCTTAGGGTGGAATCACGCGGCACGCAAATTGTACAAAACAATCTGAAATGATAGTGATTCACAGTCCGGGGGAAAGCTCCCTAATACAAAGAGACGACGTGCTACTTATACTGTCTACGACGCTGCTTAGTAAAGTCCTGTACAACTGCATAGTAGCTACGCTATCTAAGATCGGTTGCCTTTTAGGGTAATTGAAAAGTTGAACGATCGGACAGGTCCTGAGTGATCAGGACCCTGCTCCATCGTCCATATGATACTTTTGATGTGGGCCAACCCACCGCGTCATACTTTTGGAATACGACGTGCTGGATTGGCCAACGGGTATGTCTTGGCATGTGAGACCAACGTGGGCGCCCCAAGAAGCCGTATGACTCTAGGCACGCCAATCGTCCCCCACATGGCTCGGTTCACGGATCTAGCCGTATCGATTTTAGTGTGTTTGAGTATGGGCGCGACTCGCCGTGACACTTGGAAGTGTCACCGCGACGCGTCCACAATGTCCCGTGATCGAATGGATCCTGACATGTGACAAGTCGTCGTCGTGGCATGATCTGAGGAAACGTCCAACTCAAAACCGGGAGTTGCCGCGACAAGATGGTTTAAGTCTTGTAACGCCAAGTCCTGTCCAATAGTAGTTCTATTATTGAGAACGTCGCGCATTGCTCAGCCCTTCAGCCCAAGTTCCCATCTGCAGAGAATGACCCTTATTGAGAAGTCGACGCAACGACATATCCCTTTTTGGGGAATGGTCGCGGTCCAAGCGTTCGTCACTAATGGCCCTGAGCCTGGTGTAGACTCATAAGACCAGTTCCACAGTAGTGGTCTGACTGCCTTGCTATCGTCGACACTATCCACAGTCGTCGACTGGGCAGTAGACCCATAAGTCCTACTGAGCGCAACACTGTTAACCGCGACACGATACACCGAGTGGTTCAAGAGTAAACTCTGTAAAAAGCGCAAAAATACGCCCTTACAGAGCTGGTGCAGAGCGCGTCTGGTAGCCAGCCTATCATCTCCCAGGAACACTAATTTTGACCTCCTGGTCAATCCCGCGACAGTCTCACTGCGTCAGGTCTAAGTCCAACAGTCGACGTCTCGTTTATTTATTATTAAAGCCGCGGAGACATAGAGTTATGTTCCCACGTCTTATTCATTTGGTTGTTCGGTTCCTTCCGTGATCTGCCGCGATCAAACTTCTTCCGGCATGTTCACCATATAAATGCCCTCAATTTTCAGGGTCGAGAGTCTCCCTAGTACGAGACACTCTTGCTTTTCGACCACCATGTCCGCGCCCGACCAGAGCCCCCGCCCCCAAGACAACAACCGTGAGTGACGCCCAGGACGATTACCGCGACTTTTCAACCACGCTAACCGTCCATCAGCCGTCACCGAATCAGCTGTCCCGGGAGCAAACCCGCCTGCCATCGACTGGCGGCAGTTCATGCCGTTAGTCAATGTCTCTCTCATGGCTTGTCGATCCAACTCACCACCTGCCTAGCCCTGAGGCCTACAACATGATGTTGCGGCAGATGGCCGTCGACGTCCGCCAGATCCAGCAGGTGAGCTCCGTTCTAAGCCCGCTGGAGCGAGCAGTCACGGCGATCAATGATTGCCGCGCCTGTTCGCTTTGGCCTTCCTTCTTTTCACTCACGTAAGGACTAGCCGGCGTCTACGCCCTTGACCACCAACGCTCCAGTCGAGGAGTCGTCGCCGCCCAAGAAACGCAAACGAGTCGTCGAACCCGTACGTGTAATCTGTTTCATTCGTTCACTATGTTCTGATCGACCCCCAGGCGGCTCCAACCGAACAAGTCGCCGCCCCTTCGTCGTCCCGGCCTGCCAAGCAGAAGGGGAAGGATGACGGCTCCAAGCCGCAGGCCCCTGCCGCCGTCGCGGGCAGCAAGGTCGCCGTCGCCAAGAAGTCGAGCGAGAAGTCGCAGGGGAAGCGACCCAAGGCGACTCCTGCGGAGGAGCCCAAGGCGTCGTCCCACGCGCCTACTCGTAAGTGGCTCTTTCCTTTCATTCACCAGAGTCGCGGGTACTGACTTGTCGTAGCCGCTACCTCGGCCCTATTCCACAGGAGTCACCTCCCAAGCGCGTTCACAAGAAGACGCACGTAGGTGTGTAATCCTATGTCTTATTTCATTGATCTTTAGACTAACCACCTGGTCCCTCCCAGCCCGGATCCAAGCACAGCCTGTGCAGCCCGAGTCCCTCAGCGATGAGGAAGCCGCCGCCGTCGCCGACACTGCGATGGATGTCGACGACGAAGGGGTCCAGGAGGGAGACGCGTCCTCGGCCGACGAGCTGGCCCTTCAGGTAAGTGACCCAGTTCGTCGATCGCGATTCTTCGTCTCATGGTTGGTTTGTTTTTGACAGGGGCCCAAGTCCAAGGGGAAAGCGCGATCGAATCTGAGTACGTTTTCCTCTTGTCCCCCTCTGTCGTTTACTCATTCTTTCGTAGCCCCGTCCGTCATCGTCATGGACGACACCTCCGAGAGCGGAGAGGAGACCGGCGATTTCGTCGTGGCCAAGAAGCAGGTCAACGAGACCCGCGTCAAGCCCAAGGCGAGCCGACTCCTTTTTCCCAGACCACGCCCCTTAATCCAGCTTTTTAGCCAATCAAGAAGGTCGCGGACGGATCGTCCATGTCGACCAAGTCCGTGCCTCCCCATCCGGTGCCGAAGGTGGAGGCCAGTCGCAAGGCGAGCGCCCCGCGAGCGACGACTACCCCGACCCCAGTGGCTAAGGTGAGACACAGACCTTGGTTCCCAGACGTCGACTAACTCGTTTTTCTTTCTTTTCTAGGTTGCCCAGGCGGCCCCCGCCACTACCAAGACTCCACGCAGTGAGTTGGGCAGGGTGGCCGCGACCCTTGGTCGCGAGCGGAGTGTTGCGGCGGCCAAGGCCGAGCTCAAGGCTCAGAAGGCAGAAAAGTCCGTTGCGGCGGCCAAGAAGAAATCTGACTCGGTGAGTCGCGACTTTTTCTTGTCGTCGACTTTTTACTGACTTGACTGTTTCTAGACTCCTGCGAAGGCGTCGGCCCCCACGCCCCGAGCTCCGTTCACTCCCGCCGCCTACGACACCGAGGCGCTCCTTTCGGTGGCACGCCAAGGGTTCGCGGGGAAGTTGGAAAGGGCCGGCGTAGAGGTGCCCACTGACTTCGTGCGTTCTTTTATCTTTTTCTCTCATGCCTCGTCGACTGACTCCCTTTTTCATAGGAGGTCGCGCCAAGGCCCTGCGCGATGTGCGTGACGCGGCAGCGCGTCTGCTTCAAGAGCGTCGACGGGCGCCACGGCAATCGGTGCGCCCCGTGCGTGCTCTATAAACAGACTTGCACCAACGGCTACAAGCCCGCGGAGCAGCTGTACATGGGACAACGCTTCGGGTATATCGCGCAGATGAGCGCGGATGGTACGAGTCCACCCTTTTTATTCATTTCTATTTTGATCGTTTCTGACGACGTTTTCAGATCTCAACAAGTCCGCCAACCGTCTCGCCGACACCTTGGACGCGTACGGCGGGCTTCTTCGCACGGCCAACGAGATCCGCGTCCTGGCCATTGGCCAGTTCCGTGAT